GCTCAACCATATAAGCAGAAGAAGATGCATTTTTATTGCTAGTATCGGAAATATTAAGCACAAATAAACCATGGTTACAATATTCATTGCCCACAAAAATATTATTTTTGGTCAATACGACCTCATTATTTTCAAATGAAACCTTCACTCCAACTTTTCCTAATAACTCCACAGAAACCAAACTGGTTTGGATATTAGGAACATGCAATACATCACTCAATGCTAGAGTTTTACCAGATGTGAGTTTGAGAAGAATTTTTCCTTTTCCAAGAACACGAGTTGTTCTTGAGTCACCAAGATAAATAGTTTCTTCTCCTTCCTTAACTTGGGTGTAAGACAAAAATTCATTTTTGTTTGCACAAATGTGCTTAGCAGCACCATAGTCTATCACTCAATTTTTCCCATTGGCCACATTATTTATTTGGGAAATAACGGCAACAACTATATTATCCGCTTTAGTCAAATTTAATTTTGACTTAGCGAGATTGTCATTTATCCCAATTCTTCTATCGCATTGAGGTGCATTTTTCTTGAAGGTTTTAATATTAGCATTGGATATGTAACCATGTCTATTCACATACCTATGTTTTGACATTAGTGTTTGCCAAAGTTGTGGATGCAATAAAGTATTTGCAACACCATGGATATCTGGCAGGACAACTGGAACAGTAGCGGCAGAGAAAACACCAAAATTGGTGGCACCATAAAAAATTTTCGCAGTAGTATTACTTGCTATAGTTTCTTAGATTGTAGGGAAATGACACGGAAAAATAACAATAATAATACTGCAATAATATTATTTGTAAGCATACACACGAATTGGCTTGAGTCGTGCTAGGCACTGTCCTAAGAAACTATTTCAGCAATGTAAAATGTTTTCCCAGGATTAAACAAGCCCATCTCTATTTATTTAGAGGATACAAGAATCAACAAAATTAAATAATAAATCCAGCAAGTAAGAATAAACTGGAGGGAAGAAATAATAACAAGAGGTAATAATTTGGTCAATAATGGAAATAATAATTACAGAAATGATTAGCTAAAGAAGAAAGCAATGATAGCTAAGAAAGTGTAAAGAAGACCAATTTTTTATTGATGACATACGGATGAACAAGAAGGCTATTTATAGAGGTACTTGGGGTCTTCTCAAATTGTCAAATGTTTGAATGCATGAAAGATGATTGCCACTTGTGTATGGCTTAGCCATTTGGCTACATATCTTCATGGAAAATGCCACATGGTAGGTATTCATAGCCACTTAGCTTAGTAGAGCCATTTATCACACAATCTTCTAAACCAATGCCACATGTAAAAAGTCTTTTGACACATTACCAACACTTATCAACAATCACAAATAACCAAGAGATCAAGTATATCAATTTGTATTTCCTGTCTGATTTTAAGCCTTTTAATTTCAGAGAACTTCCAACTTTGACTCAGTTTGAGCGTACAGGTAAATTCCATTGTCTTATTTCATCTAATATGGTTTATTTTAATCCCAATGTATTAAATATGTACTTAGTAATAATAATGGAAGACATGATAAAATTTTAATTATGTATACTTACTGAAATTGAAAACTATAAGCTAAAAATGCACATGGAGATTGTTCCCGTTACACCATCGTATCTATTACACTAAGGAGTCGTTTGGTTAGGGGTATGGGATAGACAAGGATATCCCATGGATTTGAAAAATCATGTGGGATTAGCTATCTCACCTTTTATATGAAATAGCTAATCTCACCAACTTAGTACAAAATGATACTAATTAATACCCTTAACTAAACGCCGTATTTTATCATGTGATTCTTATCCCTCATCTCACCAACCGAGCGACCTCTAATTGTACACACAATGATTGGAAAAACTATTCTAATGAGGAAAATAAGTGCAAGAAACTAAACGATATATAAATAAATATAATGCATGAATTTTATGTATTATGTGTGCCTGGACTGCCGTCCTAGGCTAACAACCATTTGACCTAGTTTGACCAACCATAACGTGTGAAATATATTTTTTCAATGTTGGTCATCATCCTTTTAAACAGCCCGTGGCAGACCTTTTCTTCTCGACCTTCTCTTTATTTTTTCTCTTCTCCGAATCTCTCGTACAAGTTTTTCATGTTGGCAGGCATTCTAAAAGTTCAATATTAAAAGAATCCAGTGTTTGATTATACTAGGTTGAAGACTTCACAAACTCCGGTCGCAAATTTTATGGTTGTAAAGTCTGAAGATTGAGTAATTTATTATTTTTAAAATAACTTATGGTATTTTACTTGAAATACTGATAAATATTTGTTGGATTGTGTAGAAAAATGGTGGCTACAACTATTTTAGGTGATATGATGGGCCACAGTCAAATTGAACAAATGGTGTTGTCGGGGTTGAGAAGACCCTAGTTGGAGCTTGTGTACCGCTAAAATCGGGGACATAGTTTTTTCCCCGATATAGAAACAGAGGGGAAGCATGGCTCGACATGATTAGGATTGAGATCCAAGAACCCCTTGTATCGAAACCGAAGAACAAATGATGAGATCGGGCACGGTGAAATAACGGACCTGGACCAAGTATAGCTTCTGGACTTTGGGAAACGCGGAGAACGATTATGCATGACGAGTAGGGAGCCGTAATATTCACCCTCAACCGGTACGACGTGAAATCTCGTCCAGTATCAACTATAGATCAACATTTAACAGAAAAAGAAGATTTTTACCTTATTTAGATTTGTACTAGGACTGAAATTCCTCTACTATATAAAAGTTTACTTTTGTCTTCTAGCTATTGTTAAGAGTATTCTTCATTTTTTCTCTTCTTTACTCACGATCGAGTTTGTACCGAAGGTCCAATCGCGGACGAGTTTCACTATTCAATCTAAGATCAGGCTTAGTCATCACAGATTGGTTTGATCATTTATTTTGGCTTTAACTTGTTGACCTTTTGTTCTTAATTATTCGTATTGAATAAAATCACAAATTCTTTAAACCACGTACAAATTTAATTGTTACTCATTTTTGAGGTAAACAAAGCTGAAATAGCCAACGTGAAGTTTGAATTACTATGCAGGATTAGAAGCTGAAGACACCGATCTACTTACAACTCTGTTGAAAGAATTGCTGAAGAACAAAGAGATCAACTGAAGGAGAAATTGTTAGAAAATGAACAAGAGTGGAATCAACTGAAAGGGAAGCTGAAAGAGGATGAAAAACAGAGAAATCGATTGAGGCTGTTTTTGATTTATTGTTAATGTTTATTATATGGTAATGGAGCATAGTGGATTAGGTTTATTTTTATCTTGGTTAGTGGTTGGATAGGATAAATTCTGAAATAATTTATTTATGGATTGCGTAGTGTAAGAACTTGTGTAGTAACAGATTTTGAGGAAGATGTAGTGTAATGTACATATCATCATCTTTTTTAAGGAAGTTTGGTATATTGGTTCATTTTTTGTCTAATTTCTTCAAGGCTAATATCATTGAAATTTAATAGAAACAAAATAAATCGAGCAATGGTTGATAATTAAACAAGCATATCGAACCGGGTAATTTTCTTAAAGAAATAAGGATAGTTGCATATTGAAGTGAAAAAGCGATAGAAATATGTAATATTGTCATATGATATATAGTGAAAAATCTGAATATATCGCTACATTATTATGCATTGTACATAAGGTAAGTGTCACGATCTAAAATCTCACTGGAGCCGTGATGACGCCTAACACCGCTTGCTAGGTAAACCAACAATAGATATACTTAATTAAACTCCAACAACCATAAGAAATACTCTCAAATAGGAGAATATCATAAATAACTAAAGTCATAATGACAATACAATTGAAATCACCCAAAATCTGGTGTCACCCAATACATGAGCTCTATAGAGTGCTAAATACAAAGTCTGCACAACATACAATACTGTTTGAAAGGCTAAACAGTAATAACATAAGATAAAAGAGGGGACTTCAAGGCCTGTGAACAGAACAACATTGCTACTTAGAAATCTCCAAGCAAATCCAGATAACATGCTCGCTGGCAACCACCACTATCAGCAATACCTAAATCTGCACATGAAAAGCAAAGTATAGTATGAGTACAACCCATACCATGTATTCAGTAAGTAACAAGCTTAACATCGGAGAAAGTAATTGCGAGGTATGCAAAGTCCGATGCTCACAGTGACATGTAAGGAAAAACAACTCAAATAACAGCATGTTCAACTCTAACACGATAAAAGGATAGATAAGCATGATTTTCAGGTATATCGGTCAAAACATTAATTTTTTTCACAGAAATCACTCAACTATTTTTTCACATATTTGATATTTTGAGTCCAAATAGTTGTTATTTAGATTGCGGACTCGTAAAATAAGCACAGCATAACATATGAAATTTTAACGCTATGTCAGTTCCAAGTAGAAGAAGCTAAGCAGGAGAGTTACTTCAGCAGCAAGAAATAATGAACCAGCATATATAATTGGTCGCACTAGGCCAAAACACATAAAATTCATGGGTCATGGTACCGATCTGTGTATATACTTATATTTTCATTAGTAGTAGAATACTTGAGATAATTGTAGACTTGCTCAAAGACCGTCCTTTGGTTTCCCAAGAACATATATATCCTGTTCATTTCCTATATCGTACAAAAGTCCTGTTTTGCTTTAGGTTGCTTCTCATTTGTTGTAAAGAAAGCAAGAGAACTGTTAACTTGAAAAAGAAAGAAAGTTTTGATCGGTGCTTTTATCATCTTTTTCTTTGGTAGCGCTTTTGTACTGGTACATATTCTTGAGGTTTGGTTTTTCCTTCGTCACAAAGAAATCTATCTTTTGCGTTTCCTTTATTTTTGGGCACAGTGTGTAAGAAAAAATTTCATATCTGCTGCATGCAATAGTTTCGACAGTGACATTCATATGAGGTTTTTTTTTTTAATATGTGTGTTTTTCAGGTTTAAAGCAGATTTGAGGTGATTTCTTTTGGATAATCTGAGTTAAGAGCTAGGGATGGAGGGGGTTTCTTCTTCTATTAGTATAAAGAAGAGAGCATGGCCTAAAGATGACTTTATTGATTTGGTCTTCTCGTGGTCTATGGAAAATATTTTTGATGAGACTCTGTATGAAAATCAGGTACACTTTTTCTTTTCCATGCTTCTTTAGATTGTTCTTGGTAGAGTTTATTTCTCTAAATAATGTAATAAAATGCTTCTAATACTCTCTCTTTTTCTTCTTTTTTGTTTTAGTATCCTAGTGATGGGGAACTTAAGTTTGTCAAAATGATAATGCTGCATGACTAAAGTTGTACAAAATATTTTTGTTTGGAATTTGGAAAGAAGGAATTTTTCCTTTAAATATCATCTGTAAGCCTCAGGAAGTTGCATGAGTCTCTAATTTATACCTCTATTTTTCTTGATCTTTAAATAGATTTTTCACATCGACTGGTTTATTGAATGCGTCTAGCCTTGAAACTGAACTTTGCTATTCAACTATGGATTCAATAATTAAGCTATATTTGCTTCCATTTTGGGGCATGTTTATTCAATGGGTTAAGGAACGTAGGTAATTTCGTATGCATTTCTTAGTTTCTTTTTATAAGCAGTAATCTAAAGGGAACTAAAGGTGAATTCAATTTGAAATGATAAAAAGAAGAATAGAGAGAAATAAGCCTATCTACCCTTCCCCGGAAGGGTAACGTCTGCCTACACTCTACCCTTCCCAGATCGCACTATTGGGATTTTACTGGGTGTGTTGTTGTGTAAGTGTAAGCATAGAGAGAAATAAGATTTAAGATGTCTAAGAACAAAACATTTTCCCCCTTTTTTCTTTCTACTTTTGTTGAATATTTTTCTTTAAATGTTTTTAACTTTTAACGGTTCTTTTTTCCTCTTTGAAAGATTAATTTGTTTTGGAACTTTAAAGAGAAAATCTTGAATTGTTGTAAGTGGACTCCTTAAATGTTATCTTTGTCATAACACCTTAATAAAGAAGATATTATTGTTGCCAATTTGTAAATGGGATGCATGGCTTCCTACAGAGCTAAAATAAGTTGCTTCTTTCTTAATTAAAAATTTTGCTGTGTAGGTGGAGAAGATTCCAGAATCATTTGAATCAGTGGATCATTACTTGGGTTCATTTTACTTCCCTTTACTGGAAGAAACACGAGCAGATATTGCTGCTTCCTTGGAAGTCGTAGATAAAGCACCTTTCGCCGAATTAATCTCCTTTGATGAAGTAAAACCACATGGAGCATTACTTTTTGATGTTAAGGTTGATTACTGGAGGCATATATTCAGTGATGGGAAAGAGCCTTACAGAACATTGCCCGGAGATATTGTTATTATCTCAGATGCTAAACCTGAAACTGCTTCTGACCTGCAGCGACTTGGATGGAATTGGACCTTTGCATCTGTAACTAATATCAGTGACAATGAGAACGATGATTTAACTGCATCCACTAATTTTAAAGTCAAAGTTGCTAGAGATATTGGAATTTCTAAGGGAGTGCAAAAATCATTTTATATAGTGTTTTTGATAAATTCGATACCAAATAAGAGAGTATGGAATGCGCTGGGAATGAGAAAGAATTTGCACATTATTGAGAAAGTTCTGTGCAGCGGGCATGAGGTAAGTAATCTTGCTGATTTACGTGTTTTTACTTCCTCTCAGAAGCATAATCCATTAGGTGCCTCTTTGTTGTCTAGTGCTTGATAACATATTTTTCAAGTTAATGTGTGGTCTTGTCGCTTAAATGTGCCTGGAAAATACATAACAAGGATGACATCAGCATTTTTCCACAATTGAAAAACGAAGAATGGCAGCGTATGAAAGTTTGACAAAAGTTATCTGTTGCTTGTGATGAACTTAATGTAATGCGAAGTACTATACTTTTTACATTTACGGCAGCTGGATGATGTCGTCTAGTTTTCTAATCTTTTATTGATGGTTAGTTTTCAAATTTGTGTTGTCTCAGAAAGGTTCTTTTACCAAAACCTTTGTAATGTTGATTCATTGGTCTCTTGGGTCGCGAATGGCCATTCTTTCTTGCATTTCTTCTGTTTCCAAAACTTTACTCTTTATTTTAGAAAATATGTACTCTTTGGCAATTAAAAACAATGTGTTCGTTGTCATTCTTGGGAAAAAAAAACTGAAACATACTCTTTTTACCAGATGCAGCATCGACTGCTCTTTTCTTCCTTTAAGAGTGTTCCTATGAATTTGGACTCTATGCTTGTGTTTTCCTATTTTCAGTATCTGTTTCGCTTAGTGGATTTCAGAATGAAAAAGCATTGTTTTTGTGCAGAAACAGCGCGATAATAAATGTGATGTTTGTTCTACATCCATTAATGATGGACCAGCTGGAGAAGTTGTTAACAGTCTGTTGACTAAGCTGAATGATTCTCAGGCTAATGCAATCTTGACCTCTCTTGATACATTGAAATGTCGCCACAAGCCTTCCATTGAACTAATATGGGGTCCACCTGGTACAGGAAAGACTAAGACTACAAGTGTCATGCTCTTCATACTGTTGAGAATGAAGTATAGAACACTTACTTGTGCCCCAACAAACGTAGCAATAACACAAGTAGCTTCTCGCTTGGTTAAACTGGTCAGAGAGTCATTAAAAAATCATTCTGCAGAAATGGATATTGTTTGTCCTTTGGGTGATATTCTCTTGGTTGGGAATAAGGACCGGCTAAAGGTTGGTCACGATATTGAGGAGATTTACCTTGATTATCGTGTCGATAGGCTGGTGGAATGCCTGGGACCACTGACTGGATGGAAACACTGTATAAGTTCCATGAGCGGATTTCTAGAAGATTGTGTTTCTCAGTACCACATCTACGTGGAGAATGAGTTGATCAAACTGAAGGAACTTGCTGACCAAGAGGAAGCACAAAAAGAAAAAGCAAAAATCAGCTCATTGTTTGATTTTGCTAGATCTTGGTTTAATTCTACAGCATCCTCTTTGAGAAGATGCATGTTAGTATTCTGTACTTATCTACCAGTATGTTTTATTCAAGAGGAGAACTTTGAAAGAATGGTGCGCCTTATCTCCCTGCTTGATTGTTTGGAGGGAAAGTTATTTCAAGAGAATGTTGGCTCTAAAGAACTGGAGGAGCTATTATCATGTAAGCAAACAATTAAAGTCTCTTCTGAGGCCGTTTTGGATGAGCTTTCTTTACGTTCTTTAAGAAGCCAGTGCCTTGGACTTCTAAAAGATGTTCGCCAATCTCTTGGAAAACTGAGTCTTCCTAGTGCTATGAGTAAGGAGTCGATTAAGGAGTTCTGTTTCCAAATGGCGTCCTTGGTATTCTGCACTGCTTCTAGTTCATATAAGCTTCATTCACTGGATATCGAGCCATTTGACTTATTAGTCGTCGATGAAGCTGCCCAATTGAAGGAGTGTGAATCTGTCATACCCTTCCAACTTCGAGGTCTGACGCATACTGTTTTGGTGGGCGATGAGTGTCAACTGCCGGCAACCGTTAAGAGTCGAGTAAGTTTGCCTTCTTTTTCTTACATGCAATTTCAAGGAATTGCAACTGATGTCTTTTCACTATATCGTTTTTACATAATTCTGTTACTCTGAAATAGGTTTCTGAAGAAGCTGGCTTTGGAAGGAGCCTTTTTGAAAGACTCAGTTCACTGGGACATTTTAAACACCTGCTTAACATACAGTACCGGATGCATCCATCAATTAGCCAATTCCCAAATTCAAATTTCTATAATAATCAAATTCATGATGCCCCTGATGTAAAGCATAAAACGTACGAGAAAAGATATCTTCCAGGAAGGTGTTTTGGCCCATATTCCTTTATAAATGTTCTATTGGCTAAGGAAGAACTGGATGATGTTGGACATAGTCGAAGAAATATGGTTGAAGTGGCTTTAGTGATGAAGATAGTGCATAACTTATTCAAAGGTATACTCATATTAATGAAACCTGCCATTTTGTGGTTAGAATTTTCCTGAAATGCTCTTTTGTCTTTTTGCCTGTAACTATTTGTACCTTTGTCAAACTCAACTTTAATTTTTGTTTCTGTTTGAGGTGTGATGTGCAATGATACCGATATGTGTATCAAGGTATTGAAGGTTCTAGTCTCAAAAGTAGCAAAAGTAAACAAGTGTTTTGTGCATGAGGTATCCTTAAACTGTATTTCGTCACCACAAAAAGAAACATACGCTGACTGAATATATCTGGTTCATGTACAGCAGTTGGGAGCTTAAATGGGAATGCCTAATTTGAGGCTAATAGCCAATCGTACTTTGTTATAACTATGAAAATTGTAGAATTAAGGAAAAGCCTTCTAAAGACAAAAACAACAAAGGCTGGGTTTCTTGTCTTTTTTATAGGTACTGGGATCTGGAAATGAGGCTGTGATTGTTCAAGAGTATTTAATGCAGAACGCCTAATAACCCAGATTTTGTACTTGGGCTTGTGTCGTTTAATCTTTGAATAGCGAGATCTCCACTAGAAAACTTGATTGAGTGACATACACAACTTGCTTTACTGTTTCCTTCCTTGTAATGAGTGCATTCTGTCAAATATTAGGTTGGCCGTCTCTTAATTAATGTTTAATTGGGTTTGCATGGGTGGGTGGTTCTCTGTAGCTTCCACGTATTTCTATTTTCTTTGTTGTTGTTGTTGTTGTTGTTATCTTCTATTCCTTATTTGCAGCTTGGAGTGGCTCCAGGAAGAAACTCAGCATTGGTGTTATATCACCTTATTCTGCACAAATTTTGGCCATACAAGGTAAACTTGGGCAGAAGTATGATAACCTGGAGGGTTTTGAAGTTAAGGTGAAGTCAATAGATGGATTTCAGGGAGGGGAGGAAGATATAGTAATATTATCTACTGTGAGATCTAATCGTGGTGGTTCGATTGGTTTCTTGTCTAGCTTTCAAAGGACTAATGTTGCTTTGACCAGGGCTCGGTATGGATTGAATTTTTCTGCTGTTACGTCACATTTGGATCTTCTTTTTTTCTTCTAAGCTGATTTTGCAGGGTTTTATTCTTATAGGCACTGTCTTTGGATTCTTGGCAATGAACAAACGTTACTTGAGAGAAACTCTGTTTGGCAAGCATTAGTTCTTGACGCCAAGAGTCGTCAGTGCTTCTTTCATGCTGCAGAAGACAATGACATGAAGACAACAATTTTAAATGTTAAGAAAGAATATGATCAGTTGGATGATTTACTTAATCCAGAGAGTATTCTGTTCAAATCTCAAAGATGGAAGGTATGTCTTGTGCTTTTGGCTCTTTCACATTGATTTTTTTCTTTTTAATTGACTATGACTTGAAGTCAGTTAATGTCTAATGGAGCGAGTTATAAAAAGGATTATGTTATAATGAAGTTATGGCACCATGAACATTCAAATCGTTATCTTGTTAATTTATTATTTATTGAATTCAAAACGTTATTTTCTAGGGACTTTTCTTGTAAAAAGAATATATACTTCTTCAATGTTACATGCTCACAGTGGTTTATTGCAATGAGTCAAGTGTGCAGAGAATTAGTAGTTGATCTTGATTCACATTCTCATCCTCAGAAGCATTTAGCCGAGGATCCAATATTTCATGTTTGGATTGTTATACCTACTTGTATTATCATGGGTGGCTCCAGTGTTTTTCCGCTCCAGATTGCTTGTTGATGTAGTATTTCAGTTTTTTGACCAGTTAATGTATGATCTCTTGATACATAATGGGTTATGTATATGCTGTATTTCTTATGGTTTGCTTTTTCAGTTCTAAACTAACACCTTGCATTAGCATTCATTACCAGGACTCTTCCTCCCTGAGCACATAGTGTTCTCTGTTTAATTGTTCTACCTCCCATGAGTTATAGTCAATTGAAACATCTGTCTTGATCCATGTTATATGTTAATTCTTTTCAAGTGTGTGCTTCACTCATTGAAGGTGCAAAACTTTGGTCAGTATCATTTGTCACACATAAGTATGCGGTAATGGTTCCTGTATTAATGAGTTTACTTGGCCGTTGTTGTATTGTCTTCTATATGGTTGCCAGGTACTCTTCAGTGACAATTTTAGAAAATCTTTTGTAAAGCTGGCATCCTCCCGCCTGAGGATGTCTGTGATAAATCTTCTGGTTAAGCTGGCTAGTGGATGGCGTCCCAAGAATAGGAATGCGGACTCAATTTCCGAGAGCTCATCTCAAATTGTAAAACAATTTAAGGTTGAAGGGCGGTATATCGTTTGCACGGTTGATATTCAGAAAGAGTCCACCTATACTCAAGTGCTGAAGGTTTGGGATATTTTGCCCTTAGAGGAGGTCACAAAATTGTTAAGACGCCTTGATAGCATATCTTCAATGTACACTGATGAATTCATTAGTCTCTGCAAGGAAAAGTGTCTTGAGGGGTAAACTGAATCTTTTGTGCTCTATTATTTCCAATATTACAATGAGCTGCAATTGCTTGTAAATTTTACTTTATTATTTTCACTTTTGTTCAGAGACTTGGAAGTTCCAAAGAGTTGGAAGCTCTGTCGTGATATCATTCAGTACAAGAGTGTTACTGCGAGCGAATTGAATAATGAAACAACTGGTGCAGTAGATGGTAGAAGTTATGTTGAAAATTCAAGAGTCAGTGAAAGCTTATTGCTAATGAAATTTTACTCTTTATCATCTGGTGTTGTCAACCATTTGCTCTCTAATCACCATGGTGAAGAATTAGATCTCCCTTTTGAAGTTACTAATGAAGAGAGGGAGATAATCCAATTTAGTAGAAGCAGTTTCATCCTTGGTCGCTCAGGCACAGGAAAAACAACAGTTTTGACCATGAAGTTATTGCAAAAGGAACAACTCCACCACAATGCTGTCAAAGGATTAAATGTAGCTGGGGAAAAAGATGTCAGTCAGCGTGCAGAGGATATAGGATTTAGACGACATGAGGAAAATGAGGAGAACCAGTGTGTAAGAGAAGCTAACAGGGCTACCTTGCGCCAGCTTTTCGTAACAGTTAGTCCTAAACTTTGTTACGCTGTCAAACAACAAATCTCTCAGCTGAAAAGGTGAGTTCTAGTATGCTGTCAGAGAGTTGCCTGATGGGGTTATGCTTGCCTTAATAAGCTGCATCCTTGTTGAGCAACGATCCTAGAAGTAATGTGGTTCAGTATTCTCTTTCGTTTTATTTGGTTTTCTTCTGAGTTTACAGTGCAAGTCTAAGATTTATAATGCATGAAGAAAGAACGATATGAATTAGTTTCTGTGCTGTAACTTAGTGGTTAATGAAGCGAGAAAAACCATGCGAGACCTGAGTAATTCCATCATTAGGCAAAAAACCGAAGTTATCTCTTTTATGTGTCTAAGCATTGGTGAACGTAGAGTTTCCTGGTGAGTGTATTGGTAGAGTGTGCAGGTATAGTTGCTCGAATACTTAATAAGGAAAGCTAAAAATCATTGAGCCATCTAGGAGAACAGTGGAGAAGGAATACCACATAAAATAGTCTCAAAACGAGAAATGAGTGGTTGAAGGCTTCATTTCAAAACTAGGCTTAAAAAAGAGCAAACGTGTTCAGATTTACAGCATGGATGTATTAATTACTTATATGCTTTCATATTCTGTGGTTGTTACTTGTTGTTAACGTACATCTAAATTGAGAGCTAGTTGCTATGGTTATTGATGTTTGGAATTATGTTTGAATGATCTAGCAAATTCTCGCCCAAGTGAATTTATTAACCATATCTGAACTCAGCAAAAGGTTACCTATTATTGTTTGAACACCATCTGCTCCTTGAACTTCCTAGACCTTTGTCCAAATAGATATTTGGAACGTAAAGAAGTTGGCGGTCTTAACCATTAGTAATGCATAGTATGCTCTTCTTTGTTCAGAATTTCATAAAGCTCTATGACCAAACTGAAAATTGTTGATGCAGTAACGTAAGAATGTTGATAGTTAAGGTTCTTACATGATAATAACTCTTCCTATAACCTTGATGATTTGGAGAGTGCATATTTGAATTGGAGATGGGTAGTCGTAGATTTTCACACGTCTAATTGCATTTCCTTTATGCTATGTTTATGTTTTACTGGTTCTGACCTGTAATTCATACTGAATTAATGTTGTCTTATATAAGCTTGAACGGGGTTTCTATTTTTATCCAATTAAGAGGTGTACAACCTGCTCCTTTGATGCTAACTTTCTTCAATTTGCAGCTTCATTTGTGGCGAAAGTTTCTCAGCTGAAAGCAGCTTGCTTGAAACTGATGATTTGGATGGAACGACACATTTTAGAGATATACCAGACTCTTTTATTGACATCCCGTACATGAAGTACCCTCTTGTGATCACTTTCCGTAAGTTCCTAATGATGCTTGATGGAACTATAGGTCATTCCTATTTTGATAGGTTCCATTTGAAGTGGGAGCTTTCCGAAGACAAAAGTTTGAGGTCAATCACTTTTCAAACTTTCATAAGAGAGAAGGAGGTCAATTATGATCGCTTTTGTAGTTTGTATTGGCCTCACTTCAGTACTCATTTGACCAAGAATCTTGATTCTTCAAGGGTGTTTACTGAAATACTTTCTTATATAAAAGGGGGGCTGAAAGCAGGGGACTTTCCTGACGGGAAACTCAGCAAAGAGGCTTATATTTCAATGTCAGAATATCGTGTCTCTACTGTAAGTGCAGAACAAAGAGAGAGAATATACAGTATTTTCCAGGATTATGAAAAAATGAAGATCGAGAGTGGTGAATACGATTTAGCTGATTTAGTTAATGATCTTCATCTTCGGCTAAAATATCAGTATCTGGATGGGGACAAGATTGATTTTGTATATATTGATGAAGTTCAAGATCTCACTATGAGACAAATAGCTCTTTTCAAATATATTTGTAGAAATGTTGATGAGGGCTTTGTTTTTTCTGGTGATACAGCACAAACAATTGCTAGGGGGATAGATTTTAGGTTTGAAGACATTAGGAATCTATTCTACAGTGATTTTGTTATGGAGTCAAAGGGTGAAGAAGTAGTCGGAAGAAGATATAAAAGACATCTATCACGTGTTTTTCAGTTGATTCAGAACTTCCGGACACATGCTGGTGTGCTCAAGCTAGCACAGAGTGTAATTGATCTGCTTTGTCATTATTTCCCTCAGTCTGTTGATTTCTTGAAACCTGAGACTAGTCTTATATATGGTGAGGCTCCCGTGTTGCTCAAGCCTGGAGCTGATGAAAATGCAATTTTAACTATTTTTGGGAATAGTGGGAGTATTGGAGGGAAAGTAATAGGTTTTGGTGCAGAGCAGGTCATACTAGTGCGGGATGAATCTGCCAAGAAGGAAATCTCTGGTTGTATCGGAAGGCAAGCTCTTATTTTGACGATTGTTGAATGCAAAGGCTTGGAGTTTCAGGCAAGTCAGTTTGCTCATTTGTTATTCCTGGGAATTCAATTATTACTGTCTATCAACTTCTCTTTTTTATTTTTTGGTTTTGTTTGTAATGATAATCGACCTATTTATGTGTAGGCTAGCTAATTTAATAAGCATCATAACTACTTCCTGCGCATGATTGTTTGCTTAACGTATCTAGTCTCTTTCTGGATGTACATGAAGTATGAAGCAAGCTTTACTTCCCACTTACTCATGCTATTCAAAGGCTTGTATAATAAGTAATCCCCTCCCTTCATCCTCTTGTTTTATCATATTTTTGCATGGATAGAGGCATGCATTTCAAAAAGAAAGGTAGTTTCAATATCTTACAAGTTTTCGATGTTTTGAAGGATCCAAATCAATGACTTATGACTTTGTTTTAGAGTACACATAATTTGCCTTAAGTTTTTGAGTTCCCATAATCTTTGGTGTAGATGGGTTTGAGGCACATTTCCTGCTCCCTGGTTCATTAGGATTCTATTTTCACTTTTGGGTAGGGTTGGAATGGGGTTAGTCCAAGAATTCACTTCTGGATAGAGACATGGCCAAGCTAACTAATATTCAACCAAGTTTCCATTTGAGTAGGTAGAACAACGGTAAATTGCAAATGCGGCGTTTGAAGAACACAAACATTGCATCTTCTGCTAAAGCATATTCTCTGTTCTATTGAATTCTTCTGTAGCATCTCATTTCCTTCTTCTATATTTGTAGGATGTGCTGCTTTACAATTTTTTTGGGTCATCGCTGCTTAGAAATCAGTGGAGAGTGGTATATGAGTTCATGAAAGAACAAGGTTTACTGGATTTATCCTTCCCAAGTTTCTGTGAAGCAAGACATAATGTCTTGTGCTCTGAATTAAAGCAGCTTTATGTAGCTAACTCGAACTAGGCAAAGGTTATGGATTTGTGAAAATATAGAAGAATTTTCCAAGCCTATGTTTGATTATTGGAAGAGGTTGTGTCTAGTGGAGACAAGGGAGATAGATGATTCACTTGCACAAGCTATGCAAAGTTCCAGCAGTCCAGAGGAGTGGAAGTCAAGGGGAGTAAAGGTCAAGTTGATTTTCCTTGATCTGTTGCTATTACCATATTCATTTGTTACACATTTCATTCTTGTGTTGCTATATATACCTCTCAGTATTATTTGACCCTCATAAAGTGCATTGATGTTATCATGCAGCTCTTTTGGGAGAAAAACTATGAGATGGCAATTATGTGTTTTGAAAAGGCAGGAGAAAAGAATTGGGAGAAAAGGGCAAAGGCGGCTGGATTCAGAGCAGCTGCTGAACGAATTCGTGATTCAAATCCCAAAGAGGCTTTCACCTACCTACGTGAGGCTGCTGAAATATTCGATTCTATTGGAAGATTTGAGTCTGCAGCTGAATGTTTTTATGACTTGAGGGAGTATGAAAGAGCAGGTAACGAATGGTGCTTTTCTCCGGAAAAGTTGCCTCACTTTCTCATGCGTCGCTCTTTTCTTGCCTGGCATTTTCTTTTTTTTTTTCTTCGAATCCATGCCTTGTGATCTCAATATATCACTTTTCTGCATTTCCATTTCTTACGGACTTGCATCCAGTTTTCAGCTCTAGTAATAACATCTCTGATTGTAACTCTTGGGGGACAATGAGCTATGCTAGGTAGACCTCTAGGATCTTATTACTTAAGTTACATTCTTCTACCCAAATCTCCCCTACTGCCCTCCCCCAAAACCATAAAACAAAAAATTATGAACAATGCCATCTTTTTCCTTAACTCATTGATTAGTTAAATGGAAGACAATAGTGTGTAGTGTGTGCCAATACAACAATCAGTTGAAATGTTGCAAGTTTTTTGTCCCACTGCCGTGGTTATCTGTAGAGGTTATTGTACCACTGTCAAATATACAGTTTTTTTCCCAACTTGCCCTTCTGCGCTATCTATGTTTTTGAGTTGATAACTACAGATTTCTTTTTGCAGTCTTGCTTTGCATCATGGTAGCCTATATCAAGACTAAATAATGTTGTTTTCGTATCTGTTTTTTTTTTTTTTTTTGTGTTCTCCCGTTTAACCTGTAAACTTATCCACAGGTAAAATTTATTTGGAGAAGTGTGGAAAACCTGAACTGGCAAAAGCTGCTGAGTGTTTTACACTGGCTGGATGCTATGAGCAGGCAGCAGGAGTTTATGCAAAAGGCAATTATTTCGCTGAGTGCTTGTTAGTTTGCACGAAAGGAAAATGTTTTGACTTGGGTTTGAAATATGTTGAGTACTGGAAGCAATATGCTGGCAAGGGTAATACTGCAGGGAAAGAAGCTCCTGAAATTGACAAAATTGAGATGGAGTTCCTGGAGAGTTGTGCATTTAATTATTGTGAGCTGAATGACAGAGAATCCATGATGAAATTTGTTAAAGCATTCCCTTCAATGGACAGGAAACGCAAATTTTTGAAGTCTCGGGAGTGTCTTGATGAGCTGCTGTTGCTAGAAGAAGAATTAGGAAATTTCACTGAAGCTGCAGAAATTGCATGGCTGGAAGGAAATATTCTTCGTGAAGCGGATATAATTGGGAAGGCACGGGATTTTGACAAGGCATCTTCACTCATCCTTTTATATGTTCTCTCTAACTCCCTATGGGTGCCAGGAAGTAAAGGTTGGCCTCCAAAGTCATTCACACAAAAGGAGGAACTTCTGCAAAGGTTAATCTCATTTGCGAGGCATGGCTCCAACTTTGAAGCCATGTACATTGTGGTTAAAGTTTTATCAAATGAGTCAAGTGACTTCTCTACCGTGAAGCGCCTGTTCATTGCGTCTCAGAAATGCAAGTGTCTAATTGCTGAAATGTTGTGTTGTAGAAAAATCTTGGATGTTCATTTTGAAAGTAATGCAGCAAAGTATGATTGGCATGATATGGAATCAGTCAATATACAAAGTTCGGAAGAACTGATTTCATGCAGCCAGGTTACTATGAGGACACTGCTCCTGTTTTGGAATTTGTGGAAGAAGAATATCATTGGTCTTCTTGAATCTCTTGATGTCCTTGATGTTGAAGAATTTGGTGAAAATAGGAATTTTTGTGATTTCTGCCTAAGTTACTTTGGTGCAAGGCAGCAATTGAATGATCTTAATGTTACATATGTTCTGTTGCATCCAGCAGCCGAGTGGGTTAAAAAAATTCACCCAAGTTTCATTAGGCCGAGCAAAAAGATGGTATTTATTGATTCTCGGCATTTTATTTATGCCGCTCGAAATCACTGGCATGCAGAATTACTCCTTGTAGGTTTGGAAGTTCTGGAAACTCTGGAATCCCTCTATAAGTCGACTGCGACTTCAATGTCTCTATTCCAGCAAAGCATATGCCTTCTAAATATATATGAGATTGCAAAATTTTTGAACGAGTCCAAAGGTAAACACCTTGATTCGAAGAATTTCGAGCGGAGAATACGGAACTTTTTGATGCAGTCCTTCAAATATTTTGATAATGTTTTCCCCCTCGACCCCCGGCAGTCAATGGTTGAGAATATGATTTCTCTAAGGAGAACAGAGATTTCCAGTGACTTACTCCAAGAATTCGTCCTTCAAGGTACTAACAACAAAGGTCTTTTGAGCTATGGACAAATTGGAAGGACGGTCATGATATTGCTTGCATCTGGAGGACATTCTGAAGATCTATACAAGAAAATTGTTGGAAAAATTCCAACAGAACCATGGAAATCATTCATGAAAATTCTCGGCTCCAAGAAATCAACAGAATGCACGGAAGAATCTGTGTCTGTCAATGCCATTTGTGAAGGCAAAACTTTGGAGTCTCATGAAGCTTTTTCATCAAGCAATAGTGATCTTGAGAGTTCTCAAAAGTCTAAAAATAATCCAAGTGAAGTTCTGGAGCTTGTATTTGTTCAGAAATTTAATGAAGCTTTACAAGATACCTTCAATGCAAATTGGATCAGACTAAATGACTACATATCCCCGGGTTGTTTCCTGTATCTTGTTGAGCGCTTTTTGATCTTGGTGTCGCAGTGCCGGGGATCCTTTTTCACCACAAGATCTTCATTGGTGGAATGGCTTATTTCTGAACAATCTGAGGTCCTACCCACTTCCAGGCTTGCAATCAACACGCAGTCTTTGGAAAATTTTTATTATTCCATTCTTGTGATGGTGAAACAATTCATTTTCGATAAAGTTGGTACTTTTGAATGGATTTCACGATCGAAGATTAGCGTTAATGCATACTATAAGCTATTTGTTTTGAGGTTGGTTGTTATCCTGTGCTTACTGTGTGTGAACTGTGGTAAGTACTATGATGTTCTTTACCAAGTGCTCAGTAACAATGATGTTAGGAACCAGCTTCCAAAGTTCTTCTATGGCGTTCTTCGACAAGGAATGAAGCGCAATTACCTTCAGACAAGTGAAGTTGGAGAAGCTTTTCGAAATGCTAGTGATCCTCTTTTGTTTGTCAGCCTGGGTGACAATGATACCAGGAAGTATTCTAATGTCATTCCAGTGCAGCTGGGAACAAACTGCAATAGAGAAGACATTATTGACTCCCTGTTTCCGGCAAGAATTGGGTCGCAAACTCCTAATACCACTGTTCCAAAAGTCATGACTAATCAATTCACTACTTCTCCCTCAAATTATGGTAATCAAACAAAGAGTTTGATAATGCCATTTTCTGAAGTCACTCCTCTGTCTGAGCAGATTTTACAAATGAATTGGGCCCTATTTCATGAAATATCTGATTTTTTGAAGCTTATTAGCAGTGAAGATGATGGAACTTTTGCAAATATATCAGTTGTTGCTCAGAAGCTGAAGGTAATCTATATTCTCTTGTAACTATAACATTTGTTGTTGTTGTTATTATTATTGAGCTGCTAAACTTATTATTTATTAAGGAGGAAATAAATGCGCATATAAAATTCTTGACTGCTGCAATTACTCTGCCCGCGGTGAAGAAGCCTTACGCTGGTGAAGACATGATTAAGGAACTGCACCTTATGCTTCAGGAGCTGAAACAGCTCCATTCATTGCTGGAAACGAGGTATGCTGGATTCTTACCATTGTGTACTTCAATTTTTGTTTTCTGGAATATATATGTCCTGCTGCTTGTATTTATGAAGTAGGGGTTCATTTATCCGAATGTCGGGCAGCAGGTGCTGCTAGCTGTTAGATCAAGAAAAATGGAATTCCACCCCTTACCCAAAATTTAACTTGAATGGCGAGGGGCAGACAGGATCATGGTTGTCAAGATGAAATTGTTTGTCAAGATAATGTACTTCTAGCATGAAAGAATTTGTCGGAAATTGATTTTACACCCTAGCACAAACATATTTTAGAGTGTCGGGGCAAGATGTCCAACTTTTGTATGAAACTCTTGCTAAATTGTTGCCTTGTTACTATATAGTGATTCAGAAGTAGCAAGCGCTGAGCGACTATTGAAGAGCTTGCTGTCAAGAAAGCCCAAGCTTGAAATTTTACTGAGTCAGTGCATTGTGCCCAATGATAACAATGAGAGCGTCACAGTAGAGGAGGATTGTGAGGAAAAAGGCGACACAGTGTGCGGTGAAGTTGAGAAGATTGAGTCGCCCTCTGCCACCACCAATGTTGAAAGCAGTAACCAGGTTGCAGAAAGGAAGCAGCCAGGGAAAGGGAAGAAGTCCAAGAAGAAAAAGGGCAAAGGAAAAAATAGGTGAAAATCAGCATGCAACAGTAATCATAGAGAGGATAGCTTCAGCGCCCTCATTTTTGTGATTTTCAATACATGGCGATCTACGTTCTGTGAATGTAAAGGAAGGTGAACTGAATTCTTCTGGTGTGAAAAATGGAACAGTATATATAAGAAACTCTATGCGTGTGTACTTTGTTTGCATAATTTTGTCCTTGGTCGGTTCTAATTTCTCACATCTTTATTTATATCT